TTGCCTGTACTTCAAAAAATTTATTTGCAGGACCATAAATGCATAATTAAAAATGCATATAATTAAAAAACAGTAACAGTGAAAAGATAACCTTCAGTAAAGACCTTTAAAGATTTGTACGTCTTTTGACTAAACAGTTGAGAAATGGAGGAATAAAAAACAATTTCTGTCCTTACATCGTCTTTTTGTCTCTCGTGAGTGAAAACCAGAGACAATACATGTACATATATCTTATGCCACTTACACTCTTTTTGTGCTTCCTAGATTACAAATGCAGATATTGAAACAGCAAATGTGTTGTGTAGGAAAATTTTATGAAGAATTCCTGTTAATCATAGCCCATGGCTTGGTGGGGTGGCAAGCAATGCTTCAAGTGAAGAACTGCTACAATGGTGCAGTGTAAAAAATACCATCCAAGATTTCTGAGTTTTTTCTCCATTGGATAGGAGGTCTGCCCTGCTACCTGGGGAATTTAGTTGACCCAAAATAGATATCTACATCTTATAAACCTGTAGCTACAAGCTACCTAGGCTCCCTTTAATGACAATGGAACAGAGAAAGCACTCCTAGGTATGATTCATCTAACCAGACAGCAGTAAGAAATCAGATGAATGGTGACTTAAATGGCACCAAAAATGCATATTGGAAATATTAATGTTTCATTTGTTAACCACATTTTGGTGAAACAAGCAATGGAGAAAGCAGTAGAGCAACTGTTAAAATGCCACTTCCACCAACACAATGCATTTGATCAATGAACACCTGGGCATCATGGAGTTTATGAAAATGTTGAGCAACGCCTTGTGACTCTTTAAATCATTGCTGCCTCAGGCAGTGCTGCCATCTGAGATTAGTTAATGAATTGGATGGCTACCTGATCATGTATTTGGCTTCAGCAACCTTTCTGTGCAATGGTAAAAGGCAATTAGGTCTGTATTAATTATTTTTTAAATTAAACTGTCATTCTTTATTAGCAGTCTGTAGCATCGTGAAGAATCTGAAGTATTGAACAGAGACATTGTATTGACTGAAGAAAGAAACTAGAAAAATCCATAATAGTAATCAGTGTAGAATTTTGATCTGTTAATAGTTGGGGTCTTTGGATTGATTCAGGCCTTTCTTCCTCATGAAATTATATGAAGTATTGAAAATCATCAGACAATACAGAAAGTAATAACATTTCTCTGGGTGTAAAAGTAAAGAGATGAAAATCTGTTTCTAGTTAATATGAAAAAGTGTATAAGCATGAGGCCCGCTTTTCTCAGGACTTGTAATGATGAAAAACAGGGACAGTACATTTATACACACTTTATGCAACTTTCACTATTTTTTGTGTTTTCCAGGGTACAAATAGGGTCAAAGACAAAAGTAGTGACAGAGAAACAGGGAATTTCCTGGCTTCCAGCACCAAATCTATCCCTCCACTTGTGAGAACTGCGGAATAAACGTCTTTCCAGACAGAGGCTAAGAAGATAGAAGTTACTAATGAAAAAGACTTCAAATATTGCAGGATTTGGAAATATTTTTACTCTTAGTATATAAAACTAGTCTCAAATTAGCTTGAGTGTTATTAGAGTGTCTATTTATGAAAGCCATCCTTCTAAAATAATTTCCTTTATTTCTCCCACTCTAGGCAATTTTGCAGTAGATTCTCTAATTTCAGAATTAGTGTTGGATAAAATATGAGAATAAGGAGACACTGGGAACTCCTAAGATCTAGTAAGAAAAATGCCTGTAGCTTATGTTTCAACACTATGTAAAATTAATAGGAATGCTCCCCACAGCAAATAGCATATTCAAACACTTACGTGTGCTGCTCTGTGGTTGTGCAAATGCTTCTGTAGCGTTCGTGCAGGCTGGAATGGAACGTGCAGCTGATGGAAAAGAATTGTCCTTATCTGGTATTCCAAGACGTTTGACTGGATTTCCTGCAAGCACCAGTGTCTTGATGGCATGGAAAGGAAACTTTGCACACAAATGTCTTTGGACTGACCCCTGTGTTATGCTGTCCTTCCTTTGGTCTTTTCTTTGTGCTAGACATTTACTTTCTCAGATTGGTTTCACTCTTAAAAATTGGGATCCAAAGAAATTCATTAGATAACTTAAAATAATGTGTTTTGTAGGCTGACATTTACAGAGCCTTCAGAAAGACTGAGGCTGTTCTGGGAATGTTTTAAAATTAAATGGGATAATGCCAATTCAGGTGATTAAACAGAACAAGCTATCAGAATTTCTGGGTATGTCCAGTTGTTTCTGTGATGTGCTGCAAGCTGTATCTCAGTGTTGTTACATGCTTAAGTATAGCAGCAAAGAATTTGAGCATATATGAGAAACTGCAGTGATGACTTATGGGGCCATATAACGAATTTGATTGACTGGAAACATTTATCTCTCAAGTAAAAGAGGAACTAAAAAATGTAGGAGAACATATGTAATATATCTCCATCTCCATACAATGGCTATTTTCCGTAGAGCCATATATTTCAGATGGTTATCCCAATTTGGCTATGATAGCACATACACCCAGAAAGAACTGGGTCTGATCCTGGAAGGCTGCTGCATAATGATCATAGAATCACAGGGTTGGAAGAGACCCACAAGAATCATCAAAGTCCAGCTCCTGGCCTTGCACAGGACAGCCCCAAGAATCATGATGCTCATGGTGTATTGTACATTTGTATCATATATATGACATTCTCTGCTTTTTGCAGATGCTTTAAAAATGCTCTTCCTCCAGAAGGAGCTTTGATGCAGGACAGGCACTAAGTTGCACTGAGCCATCCAGCCAGTGGGCTTAATGGGACAAGGTGCTACTGTGAGCCTCTCCCTCTTTTCCATGCTCTGGGCATTAAAGAGTCACATGGTGCCATGTCCCAGCAAAACCACCTGAGTACTCAGTTGCTCAGGGACAGTCACAGAGTGGCACTGAAATCTCCAAGTGATTACAGAAATTGATGAGAAATCAAAGTTGCATATGGTTACTCTAAGGTTTATTTAAGATTTTTGTTAGATTACAAGGTGACCCAGCATAATTCAAATGTTTCTTTCTCAAAATGCTTATAATTTGATTGTGAATAATGTTCTTCATAAGACATCCAGAACTACAAGTTCCTCTATAAGAAAAAAATTCTCCGAAGAGATGTGCTGTACCAATGGGCATAAAACAAGAGCAAGACACTGTATTTTCTCTGACATCACAGATTATCTCACTGTTGATGCAGCAACACAGGTCTCTTCATCAGTTTCACAGAGAATGAGGAGTACTCCCAAAGGAGAAAAAAAATGAAGATAAACTGCCTTCCAGTCTCATTTGCAGCTTCAGTAGTAACAGAATTTCTCCTGTTAAAATGATTTTGTGTAGAGGAATTACAAATAAAATGAAAGCCTCAAAGAAGGAGAGGGCATGTTTCTCAGGAGTTGTTGATAACTGAGATACTTCTTTCAAAATATGAAAGATAATTTTATATTAGGAAAACAGGAACAGCATCCGATTGCATCTTCTGAGCTTTAATAGGAAGGTCTTGGCTTAGAGTTTTAGAATTATATTAAGGACCCATCACACTTCTGTTCTGTACAAAAAAGAGAAACAAAAAAACCCCAAAACAACAACAACAATAACAAACCCCCAACCAACCCCAAAACTCAAAATTATTTTCCATGTGTTTTCATAGAGAAGAACGAGTTACTGATTTCTAGGTCTCATAAGAAGATCTAACAGATCACTGTGAGACTTAGAAAGTATAAGCTTTACAAATTCCTTCTTGATAAAAGCAGATTAGCCTGAAAAAAATGGAACCAAAGAGTGCCCTTGGCTGAGGTTGCAGCAATACAGAGTAAGTTTTTGCAGTATGGCTGTGCAGCATAGGTGAAATATAGCTTGCAAAATAGAACATTATTTCCTTTACATTATTCTTAATCTATTCATGTCCTGTCTATATAGTTGGTAAACTTACAACTGCAGATGTAGGTAGTAAGATTCATATACTTTAGTTCAAGAAAATGAAAATAAGAAAAAGGTCCCGAAAAGAGAGTCCTTACAATGTGCTCTTTGGCTGCAGATATTTCATCCTGAAACCTCAGATTTTAAAGGATGGATAGTCCACCAAATATTAATGTCACTAACAGGTGTGAGTTTCATTTTACAAATAATTTAAAAATATATATTTTTCACCTCACGAGCCCTGTTCTTAAGCTCTGCAACACCAGTAATGACATTAGGTATGAAGATATTCAGGCCCACAATACATTCACAAATATAATGTCACGCCAGTTTGCATTGTCTCCTGTAATCATACTTAAAAATGATCATAGATCTAGAGCCAAATTGCAACATTCATGTGGAATAAGGGAATCCCAATACCCAACATATTTGCTTGCAATTGAGAAAAAGACCATTATTCGCAATTTAGAGCAATTTAGACTTTGTTCCTGTCTCATTAGTAGGAAGAAAATAATTTTTCAATTACTCATCACCTAGAGAGTTTTTAAAAATATAAATCAATAAACCTTGCTTTTCAAAGAGGCAAACTCAAGATAGCTTTCTCATTCTCTCAGCTAAAATTTTCCCTGTAATATCTACAGGTACATGAAAGAATTTACTGAATGCATGCATACTTTGGAAACATTGGTGTTAAAAAAATAGGTTTTTCATTGGAGTGTGCATTCTTATAAGCGTTTATAGCTGGAAGGGAGCTTGTAAGTATGGGTTTACTTAAGTACAATTGAAATATGATGGCAAATATGGGCAATAGATGACTACAAAGCCTAGTTTCTAAAAATCCACTCTAATATCTTACAGTGGATTTTTAGAAACTAGGCTTTGTAGATTCACTACTACTGCATTTTATTTGTTTATTTTTTAAGTTAAGCAAATTATGAACATTTTATGCTAGCATTTCCTGAAAATTTACATGAGGATTGATTTTTATCAATTAAGTACCAGCATGTACTTTTGTGCAACTATTCCCTGAATTTCTGCTCTTGAGGAGGTTTTTTGTTCTTTATTATCTCTAGGTCGTAGTTTCATTTGAAGACAGTTGAAGGACTTCTCTCCAAACATAAGAAGAGATTTTGCTCAAGAGCCAGCCCATAATTATACAAGAATACATGAGGTATTCCTCTTGTCTGTATTCCTTTTCCCATGATTTACAACAGAATTATGTTCCACACTGACACACAGGCTACCTCATTAAAGTTTCATCTGAAAGCAGTACAGTCCATGCAAAGTTGTCGCTTGGTCACTTAACGTAATGCCTATGTAATTTCAATTTTAATGGTTTTTCAAAAGTTACTCAGAAAATTACCAAACAAAGATTTCTTGCACAGATTCTCACAATACTCTTGAATCAACGATTTTCTAAGTAATTTTACTAAGATCACTGGAATTAAAACTGTGTGGACGAGTTTACAGGTCCAGATTCAGCTGCTGACTTCAGGGACCTAACCTGGGACACAGCATCTTGAACCCACTTTCTGGCCTCAGCATGGTGCTTCAAAGCTGCATTGGAGCCTCTAGAGCCAGAGAAGGGAGCCAGATGCCTGTGGGCTTCATCGGTGCTCAATACTCAGCTGCCTACAGCAGATGCTCACCACAGAGCATATGTTTATAAACTCTGACTATTCTGTTGTTGGAACCTTTTACAAAATTTATAGAGACAACTAATCACCATATAAGTAATTTCCAGGATGGAATTCTTTCCTGTCTACTTTCTCTGATTATGGGGCTTCATCATCTTTCCTTTCTGAGTGGGCACATGATGCTTTGCTACTGCTGCAGGTGTACATACACTCTTTCTAAACTACAGCCTTTGATAAATGATCCGGTATCAGCCTCTAGCCCTGGATCAAGACCCAGGCACATGTATCCCACAGAACAGCGCTTAGCAAAGTGTGCTGTGACTAACGAGGAGCGTGGTAAGTGCCACAGCACCACACACACTTTATCAGCGTGCCTTGCAGTTCACTCCTCTTCAGAACACAGGCTCCCTGCACAGCTCACCAGGCAGAGCCCATCATCCCACAGCAACCCTTCTTCATGTCGGCTTTATGTTAATTGCAGTGTTATTTTGACCCTAAAAGGGAAATGTGTTAAATGCTTTGTGGTTTAGTTTCTTTTGGTAGTTTTTTATTTGGTTTTTTTTGTCTGTTTGTTTGGTTTTGTTTTGATTTCTGCTTCGACAGAAGTGTGTTTTTCCTGTGCTTTAAGATTTTGCTCAGAAATTGAGAATTCAGAATACGAAATGGAGTCAAACATCCCTGCCTGGTCTTACAGACTTTTATTGAGACCTCAGATAAAAGCAGCATGCCATCATGAAATGAGAGATTTCAGGCTATGTCATTGAAATTTCAGTCTGAAGACAATACAGTCCATGCCAAGTTGTTGCTTAGTCACTTAACATATTACCTATTTAATTTTAAATTTCAGTGATTTTTCAAAGGTTACTCGGAAAATTACCAAATATAAAGACATAAAAGACAGTTATGAAGAATTAAATTGCATGTAGACCAATGTCAAATATCATACAAGAAGTAAATTGTCTGTCAAAGAATAAACATGAATTAAACTTATTTTTTACTGAAAATATTCAATTTGATGGCACTTGCAGTCTTCAGAATATTTTTGTTTCAATCCTTTTCCTTCTGACCAAAGGCTTTATCCATGCTCTCACGGAACTTGATGCATGACTCGAAGCACAGTATTGCTTTTCTAGGAACGAAACTGATGAGACAAACACGGAGTTAGGTTTGTTTTTTTTAGAAAAATGTACTCTATAAATAAAGAAATCGTAAATTCATTATATTTGCTCAGTAATTCTAATGTCTGGCAATAACACATTTGGTGTTTCCCCCATGTTATAAGTGGGGGAAATGAATGACAGGCCAAGCCATTTTGCAAAAGCCCAGCCAGCACTGGAGGCAGTGACTGGAAGCAGACAGTTCTAGCCCAGGCATTACTCCCAGTGTACCATATCATGAAAACTCTTGACATTTCTATACTCAACTGTACCTTAAGACATATATTAGAGACAGAAGGGGCCAGAGGAATGCTATTCACCTACACTATTAAAAAATTAAAACCACTGTTTCTTCAAAGTTGGGTACCTATAACTGGATTGACTGCAGGAATATTAACTAAAGGATTGCTTTTACTAAACATTTATGCTGATTTTATGGGCATATGGCAAAGGAAAGAAGGCAATGCTAGAAGACAAGTCACATGCTTACGTTTTCAAACCCAGTAAGCGTAAAGTTGGAGGCATGATTAGATAAAACTTTTCCTTTTTAATTGCATTCAAGATCTTGCTGGCTACATACTCTGGATCAAAAACAGGAAGCAAAAGAGGTTTTCTGTGAAACAAGAAAAAATTGTTATGGGATTATAAAACTTTGCTTTTGAGATGTATTCTAACACATATGTAATTAACTAACTAACTAACTTTCCCCTCAAATAGCCTTGAAAAGGAATCTCCAAATCTCTTTGTTCCTGCTATCATCAGAATAAATTGAAAACACTTTGATGATGTTTTGAATCTTAATGGCTTTAGAGCAAGCAGAGCATAATGAAGTTAATGCCCACAATGATTGCAGCATTTGAAAACTTCCAAGCTTAGCCATACTATATTCTCTTCTATGCATAAAGTTCTGCCTTCTGCACACCTCCTCTTTCTCTACTGTGGGTGCTGTGGTGACAGCTAAGTGGATCAGAACCAGGTCTGTCTCCAGCCAGGAGAAAGGCTGTGCTCTGCATAACATATGCTCCTGCAGGATGATGAATGGTGGAAGCAGGAGCAGAGTACTGAAAAACCAATGTCACTGCTACCGTGCTACTACAACAGTTAATTCAGTGCTTGCAGCATCTCCAATTACTGCACCCATAGTCTCCCACCAGATACTATCACCACAGCTATTCCCTCTCAGAGAAGTGCAGTACCTGCTAATACAGATCATGGGGCACAGTTAATAATGACAGGTCATGGGTATCCTGACAGCCATAACTGTAATCACACTGCCAAAATTACTTGGGGCAGAGAACATCAGCAGTGTCCATTCTACTGACTAATAAGGCTCCCTTTAACCCTTAAATACTGCTGTGCATCCCAAACCATTCCTTGACTGTGAGGTTATTACAGTCCCTGTTGCACGTCAGTTATTAACTGTATGCAAGACTTGCATTTCTTTAGATCAAAAGACATAGTTTTATGTGCCAATAGGGCAAAACCACTGAATTGAAAATCAAATCAACCAGCTAGAGACTGAATATGGTATATCTTGTGAGTAGTGGTTATTTTTTACATACGAAATAGTACGCAATCTGTTTTACTTACGCGCTTTGGAAACCTTTACTTAATTTAGTGTTAACAAAATAAGGGCAAATGATTGTGGTTTTAATGCCACATTTTCCTGCATGATACAGTTCTGAACTAATGCCTTCCATCATTCCAATGATTGCATACTTTGTTGCAGCATAATCTGAAAAATGAATAAAGAAGAAATATTCAAAATCTCCAAAGCACCACAGTAAATGCTATATACAAAATTTAACTCTTTGTAATAATATTTAATCCATTATATTATTTAGTTCTATAATTAGCACCCTTCTAATTAGTATTTTAAGCATATTGGTGATGCTAACTCTGAAGGTTAATGACTCTTCCTGTGGTTGATGCACAGTTGTCTAAGGATAAGATTAATCCTTTCCAGAGCAGTTTTTTCAGTGCACTATAGAGTGATATAGGAAGATGAACTTATTCGACCTTTTATGTGCATTTCCAGATACTCATATACAAACAGACATTCTTTCAAGTTAGAATGTCTTCACCCTTCAATATCACAGGTTACATTTCACAAAGAACTGTTTCTAGTGGTAAAATATAAATACCTTACTTATAAATGCTGCTTTAGCCTATTACTTCTGATTTACCCTGCAAGTTTTTGTTTTGTTTTCTCAGGAAGATGGAATTTAGTCAGAATTTTATTTTTGATGAATGTACGGAACTCCATCCTTGGCGATAATCAAAACTTGCCCTCACACAACCCTGTGAAACCTGATCTAAGTTGGGCCTGCCTGCTTTTATTTGGATATGTGGACCAAATGACCTTCAGAGATTGCTTCCAACCAAATTATTCTACAATTTTACAACTGTAAGAAACTAATATAGTGATTTACATGTGGTTTCCTAAAGTTTTTTCAAATCTTTGTGTAAATAGTTGTTAGATACAGTGAAATCCAATTTTGCTAAAAGAGTGACTTCAAAGACCGGCATCAGAGATAGTTTGCTATTCTTCAGGAATTCACCCCCAGTGAATGATGGAACCACACAGCCTAAAAATAAATAGCTAAGGTGTAAAAGGTTAAAACATGGATGCTCAGATCCACTCCCATAAGTCTTACAGTTATATGATGAAACCTGAACGTAACCTATATTGTCAATACCAAATATGACCCAATGATAACAGGGGGCAAATGAACAGTACAGTAACACCATCAATCAGAAGAAGAAACAAGAGACAGTTATTACACCGAAGTTCAGATTCTTAAAGAGTGTCCTCAGCGATACAAATCAACATGTAAGACAGGCTTGAGGAAAGACTGGGCAGCAGACCCAGACTGATGGAATAGGGAGGACTAGAGCAGACTGCTCTCCCGAGGGAAACAGCTGAAAATATTGAGCTTTTAAATAGCTTAAAATTTATTCAAATTAATTTTATTGAAAATTCTGCCAAAATGCCTTCTGGACCTGAAAATCATTTTCCAGCTAAATATATAGTTCCAGGTATAATCCATGTCTCAGGACTCCAAAGAAAACCTGGCGTGAGAAAGAGTTAGACAACCTGTATGCAGAGCTTCTTCCCACTGCACACATACGAGCTGTATTGTCCTTATTCTGCCAAGATAAGACAGCTTGTAATCAGACAATAAAATTTGCAGCGAGCTCCCGGTGCCACTTGGGTAACGTGACACTGTCACACATCACCTTTGACATCCACAGGTTCTCGTCAGCATAGGCTGCTTCAGCCAAGCATTTATTAGGTCTCAGAGAAAAGTCATTTTTATGTAGATCTAATTTGTAATGGCAGTTGACAATACTGACCTGTCAGTCTGTAGAGTCCCAGCAATCCGCTTGCACTGGCTGTGCTAACCAGGTGCCCACGATTACGGGCCATCATGGCTGGAAGAAAAGCCTTGCAAGTCTAAGAGAATATACATATATTAAAAGAAACCCTTTATAAATAGACATGCCAAAAAAGTTGCATTTCAAAATTAGGCTTTCTGGGGCTTCATTATACAAGAAGCCCAACTGAACTTTTATCTCTGTAACAATTTTTAAATGATAGACAACATTTCCTTGAATGACTACCCTCTATTTGATGATCTAACAGCATTAAAATTGTCTTATTAAAAGCAGCAAAGTTTCTATTTTCTCTGTCTCCTGGTTCTTCACGATTTGAGTCTATTTGAGACTATTGCCAAAGGTTTGGTACACAAGAGGGAGCTAGAAGTCAACACATCAAGGGAAGTTCAGCTGCCTGTGGGCCCTTTTTTTTTACAAACTGAACTTCCAGACAACTCCAGCATCCCAGACACCACTGTGGGTGACACTAACTAAGGAGAACGCTAGTGTTTTATGAAGGGTTAGATAAAAAAACCAAACAAACAATAACAATTTTTTTTTTCAACAGCTGAGATGTCCTATTTGACTCCAAATGTGAGTACCTAGTATATCACTATCCTCCTGCCCAGTGTTTCTTCAGACCTGTGAGGGGGAACATCTCTCTCAGTCCATTTGCCTCAAGTATTTGGAAGAATGATGCAGTGTGGCTGAGGAATGCTTAGAGAGCTCCTACCTGCAAGGATTTTCCACGGAGAATTGCCTTTTAACAAGGGAGTTGCAATGCTATATTGCTCCCTGATGCAAGCTGTTCACTCAGGCATATAAACAAAAAAGCCAAGAGGGGCAAGAGTAACACTCCCTCACAACAAAAGCTCCTAAAGGTCAAATGAGAGCCCAAATAACAACAAACTCCTTCAGAGGTAAAAAAATACAGATAATACTTACTATCCACACTACTTTTCTAAGTACTTTAATCAGGTGGTGATTAGGAATGAAAGCACAGCCTGAAGACTGACACCAACATGTGCAGCAAAAAATGATTGGAATAGAATGATTTAGGTTGGAAAAGAACTGAGTCCAACTGCAAACCTAACACTGCAAGTCCACCACTAAGTCATGGTTGTGTCTCCCTGAATGCTACAAGTCCCTTAGACAAAGACTTCTAATGCCAGCAAACAGGGAAGACACATGCCATCATGTCAGCACTAACTTCAACTACAGCTGTTACAGGTAGAGCACATTTCATGGTACAGTTGCACAAATTTTTGATTTACCAGAGTGCTCAGGGAGGTTTGTGTTAATACTACTGAAACATAATGGGGAGAATGTCAATTTGGTGTGTTTCCAATTACAGGATGATTATGAAAACATATTCTCCCCCAGTCGAGGCCCTTCACATCCCTATTCCAAATTGGGGTTTTGAGGTGTATGCCACCATGGTGATTTTCACACCAAAACACTTGACTCTACCTTTTGGTCACACAGAAAAAAAAATAACAAACCACAAAACTTTACCCAGACTTGAGAGAAGAAGTTGGTTTTGAAGGTCTTTTCAAAATCTTCATCTGAAAGGTCACAGAACTTCTTCCCAATCAGTATGCCAGCATTATTGATTAGAATAGTAACATCCCCAACTTCTTTTTTAACCTGAATAAAAAAACATAAAGTTTTAGAAGGTATCCTTGCCTCTTGTGCTTCATTTATGAAAATGTTTAGTGATATTTGCAGTAATTGATATATCTACTGAAAACATAAGTACTTAAGAACTGTTGTATTGCTTCAGATCAAAGGTCCATCTGAGCCTCCTAGCCCTTGTCTCATGGTGAAAAGCAATAAAAAAAGGACGAGGGCTCTAAGGTCTCCAGTGTACTTAACTTTTCACATGCTGCAACTTCAGAGCTTCCTGAGAGACATAAGGTATCAGAATCTTTGTGTTTAATATATCCCAGTGATTCTCCACCCCATCTCGCTCCCTGAATTTGTCTAATAGCTCCCTGAACTCCAGAATACTTTTGGCTTCCACAGGAATATAAGGCAATAAGTTACAAAGCTTTAGTGTGCACCGTGAGTGTGCTTTAGCTGCAATTGGGACATTTCTTGTCCCATATTTTTCGTGTTGTGACAGACTGCATTCCTCAGACAAGCCTGTTTAACCTCTTTTCTATATAATTTCTCCTGAATTGGAAAGAATTCAGCACAGATTCCTGGGGATACCAATCCTCTGAGTAAAAAGGATAGACCATGAAATAGATAGATAACCTCACTTGGAAAGAAGGCCAAAATCACTGTTAGCTCAATTTATTATAAAAAGATTTTGGTTTATTATAAAAAGATTTTGTCCCAAGATTTGGATTTATATCAAAGCAGATGGCCAAGATTTATTCATAGTATTAAGAAACAGTCTCACTGCAGAGATTCCTGTGCTAGAGGTGAGTGGTTATCCAGTGTCTCAAAAATTATAGTATGAATACAAAAGCATAAAAATCCCATACATGCTGCTGTCTGGCAATTTGGAAACAGGTACTTCAATCTGATACCTCAACATCTGACCTTTCTTTGGCTCTCTCAGGGAACCTTAGCATTCAGTGAAGACTTGCTTGATACTCCTTCAGCTGTGTCAGGTTTAATGCTTGTCATAGAAAACCAGGGTTCAGATATTAGCACCATTCCACCTGCACAAACAAATTTAAATCTAGACACTACTGAGTATGGCAGGAGTACTCAATTCTTCTTTTGTGGGATGTATCTGTGCTTTCTTCCCACTCATTTCTTTTAACTGCTGTGTCAGTCCATATGATGATCCTCTTTTTCTTCACTTGACAACATAGCTTCACCAGTGTCAGTATTTTATTTAACCTGGCTTCATTTGACCTGTTTACTCACTGCTACAGAATACATGTGAAGCTTGGCTCCCATTTGCAAAAAGTCAAGCTGATTATTCTACATTACATATTTTGTCAGGTGTCTATTAATTCCTCTTTTTATTATGATTTCTACCAATTTTCTCTAAGACAAGATCACAGTTTGTGGCCTCTGAAGTGCACTTTACAACTGGAATATTTGCTACTCTTTGTTTCTGATAACCTGTTATAGCAAAACACACCCCCCACATTTCCAGCCCATCAGATCCATATCTAATTTCCTTCAAAATTCCCGGGTGGACACTGCCTGATCCTGAAAATTAGTTGCTGTTCACTTCACCAGTTTATTTTAAAAACCTCTTCTTTAGGGACTTTGGTTGTTTGATTTGCTTCCCAGAAAGAAAGCTTTCATTATCGGAAAATACCTAGGTTTTTCTGCAGTGAGTATATAAAATAAAAACAATTAATTTAAATTTTTGCTATTGCTTTTTCTTCTGGGTCCAAGCTGAAGAATTCTCATATTACCAATCAAAAAGTTGCAGGTATTTCCAAGAGTAGAGGAGGCCTCTAGATGAAAGACTCTTGAACTAATAAAATTTCTGGCTTCATCATGACAGTTCAATACATGCAAATATCTATGAAGATGTTGATATTGTTAACAATAATTTAACACCTTAACAGCAATTTCTGAATTTTAAACAGCTCTTCAAACTTCTATTGGTAGGTCAGTCTGCGCCCTGCAGCATAGTGTTTGCTGATATGGGCACAGCAAATTCTGCAGGCTGGAGCCCTGCGGCTCATTTGGTTAATGTGTTTGGAGATTGAAAATTACTGGAAGGCACAGAACAAACCTTTTGAGACTGTGTTAAACTAAGAGCAAACAAATAATTTAAAAATGTTCAGCATGGACATTGAAGTCCAACAAAGAAATTAACTGCATAAGCCTAAATTACACCTTTTGGTGAATGTCTTTGCAAGAAGCAGATAGCCTTTATGGGAACTGGGCTTTAATGCCAATTTAAAATGTTATCTTTTAAAGAGATTTGATCTTGGCAAATTCTAAGGTAAGTTTTTATTTTTACTTGCAAAAAATAAGATTTGAGAAGAACTGGGTTTTTTTATAGTATCATTTCAAATAAAGATCAAATGTCATATATGAAGTTCTGACCACAAATTGCTCAGACAAAGTTTTCATCTTTCTTGGAAGTGATAACAGATACGAAGATTGCTGAAATTACTGGGATTGCTACTTCCAAAATTGTTGCAGTCATTATCAATGTCTCACACAGGTGTCAGGATCACATCATCTGTACTAAGTCATTGGCAAAGATAATCCTCCTTGAACATTACATATTGTGTCAGCACATGACAGACCACTCAACAACTTGCTCATCTGTGCTTACATGCTATTACGGTACAATAAATACACCACTGCCCAAGTAATGCTATGGTACCACCTGTGGTTCTTAACATTTAGGACAAATGGCCCTAAGCGGAATTTTTTCTGTGCACAGTCAGCACAGTGTCTGTGTCCCTAATGGTGCTAACAAGGGTAGGTAAAATAATACCTTGTTGACTGCAAATGTGAGAATTGCAGTTTCAGATACTTACAGATCCTGAATCCAACTTACCTTTTAGAGGTACTTTGCATTGGGAACATTTCTTGAGGGAAAAAAAATGTTTCAAACTTTCATAGCCATGCTCAGAAGGAATTAATTTGTTTTAGTTAAAATTAAAAGCAACAATCACAAAACAAAGAGCTTGCCCCCCCAAATTTTCATAGAAAATTAATGTTACATTTCAAGGCTATTCTGAAACAATCTATCAACATTCACATGTCCTGAAATATTTTAGCTAATTTCTCTGATATATGCCTTCAGACACTGAACAGTGTATGTTCTTATATTATAGAAGAAGAATTTATCCTTGGATAAAATGGCAGAGTGGCTAACTGGATTATAATGAGGCTATACTGGGAAATATTTTCAGGCAGTTTAAGGACAAGTAAAAAGTAACAATGTGAATGTCCAATTTCTACACTCTGACAATAATATAAATAAAAAAGATAATAGTTTAAAGAATGTAGGTCAGCCCAGCAAAAGAGTTTAATTTAAAATGGAGCTTTTTTCTACCTTACTTCCCAGGTATATTGACCAAAAAATAAAGTGAAGCTGAATCATCATTTTGACTGGACACCCTGATGACGTTTCTGAAAACATTATACCCTCAAAGAACTACAGTTTTCTATACAAATGGGCAAAGGAAAGAACCCCTCTCTTACAACATATACTGATTTTTTCTTTTTTTTTTTTTTTAAATTATTTCTTGATATCTTGAAGAAATTTCAAAGCCTAAACAAATATATGGAGATAACCTCTGCTGCATGTTTTACCATACTCTTAATATAAAAGAAGTTACTGTCTCACAACGAAGACTAAAAATGGATAAATCTCAACAGAACCTCTTAAATCCAGTTACTTTATCAAGAACATAGTTTAAGGTCCATCCAGAAGTGACTTGTTGAAAAGACAAAGTCATTGCCCTACATGATTTCTTATCTTTAGTGAATAGTAACAGTTTCTAAAAAGAAAAAAAAAAAAAGAAAAAGAAAAATAAAAATAATCCGTAGCATGTACTATTAAAAAGAAGCAAGAAAAATCAGAAGTAAGAAGCCAAATCTTACCTTGTCTGCCTTTTCATAGACATCCTCTCTACTGCTGCAGTCACAATGATAGACAAACACTCGGTTAGCTCCTTTTTCTTGGGCTAATCTGCATGTTTCTTTGTTACCTTTGTCATCGATGTCCCAGAGAATCAAAGTCACTCCTAAAGGAGCAAATTTTAAGGCAATCTGCCTTCCAATCCCATTTGCAGAACCAGTAATAAGAACTATTTCACCAGCAAAAGATTTTTTGCATAGAGGAAATACACAGATGAGATTCTCAATAAGTAAATAAATGAAAAATTTCAGGTACTGTAGTAACTTCTGGATGCATCTGAAGTTGAACATGATTTCTCAGGTACAAGCACCACTCTTCTGTAATTCAAATCCAGAAATAAAATACATTACGACACTGAGATATTGACTAAAAAAAGAGGTTGACCTTCAAACAGCCATTTCTTTTGCATTGTTCTTTTGTGCAAATACAAAATACATTATTAAAGATTTGCTTTGTGAAATATACCGGATCCTTACTAGTAGAATTAAAGCAAATATCTTCTGCTAGATCCTATGGACCTTCTCTGTCGTCCTGGAGTCCTCAGCTTCCATCTCCTTTTTTGAAAAGATTTACTCACATTTTAAACAGGTATGTTGAGTCAATAGCTACAGAGCACTTTGTTTTCACAACAAGGTGATGTTAGCTGAACAAAAAAGTACTGAACACACTGGTGTGGTATCAACCTTAAGAAGGAAGGTGTCCTCCTTAGCAGGAAACGTTACCTGTTTCGGGAGGCAGGCAATCGGAACGTTCCCACACTGTGTGTATTTTCCAGTGCCGAACGGCCAAAATCACACCACGTATTCCCATTTGTGAGCAAATTGCCAGTCACAGGCAAAAGCCTAGCAATTAGGAGCCTTGATTTTCACCCTACATTGACCTCACCACTTCCTTTACGGTGTTTGGGGCGGGAAGAGCGAGGCTCAGGAGAAGGAGCGTCCGTCACCGACCCGCCGGGCCCGTCCCGCCTCCGGACTGTATCCCAGGGGGGAAGGCTCCAATCTCCCCGCGGCTGCGGCCCCCTCGCCCCTTCCCCACTAGCCCCAGCCCTGCCCCAGCGGGGCTGAGAGCCCCTCGCTCCGCCCGCCCCACACTCCCGCCGGGCCCCCGCGCTCACCGCCGCCTCCTGCCTGCCCCGCACTGCCCGCCCGCCGCGGCCCACGGCTGGTACTACCCTGCCCGGCCCGGCCCGGCCCGCCCCGAAGGTTGGGCTCCGTGCGGGGGCGGAGGCGGCCCGAGGAGGTGCGGGGTGCGGGGTCGGGGCCGAGGCTGGGGCAGGGGCAGGCGGCGCTTCCTGGCTGGGCGGGTGCGGGATGCCGGATGCCGGCGGGGCCGCCCGGCTCTGCGGCAGAGGGTGCCAAGCCTTGTCGAGGGCATCTATCGGGCGGCAGCTGCCGCTACTAGGTCGACACATTCCGCTGCTGCTGCCACATCGGCGGCCCTCCCGCGCCTGGCCGGCCCGGCCATCGGAAAGGCACTGCAGGTTCCATCCCGCTTGGTGAACCACCTGGCCAAGGGCTTGGATAGCAAGGGATCTCTCCTCCCCCTGCTGCTACTTCGTAGCAGTTGCAAAGTTAAAAACTTCTTACTTTACATCATAAATTACTGTTCACCGACTTGCCGGGATGGGACCAAAAAGGGAGAAGCTGATCATAAACGTGTCTCCCTAAAACAGTGAAACCCCACGATCATCATTGTTTCTTGTGGGTCCTCAGTTTTCCATACATGCCTTATCCAACTTTAAAACCATAGTTCTGCACCACTGAAGCATCACTGTTTTTTCCCCAAGTTTGAATAGAAAACCACACTCCTACCTAGGTCCTTAAGAATGTGCTTTTCCTGTGGTGTTATCTGCTTGTCTTGATCACCTTGACATCTTCCACCCTGTTTACGTAAATAGGCAATAAAGAGACCACTACTTTATTTGCAGTACTTTGAATTTTGCATAAGTGATACTGAAAGTCTTTTTTATCAGCAAGTTGTAGAGGGAAATTATCTGAAAAAAGTCACAGCGTGCTCTGATCCACACAATTCAGATTAGACTTCATGGGGATTCACGGGGTATTTTTCAGTTAAGCTGAAATGAAATTATAGTTCACATAATTTGATGTAATTTACACCAAGAAATATGGTGGAAAATTCCAGGTTGTCAGTGTGAATAGTTGTATGGAAGGGATGTGCTTTCATACACAGTTAACTGTTGAATATTCTACTTAGGTGCCAGAAAAAGGGGAAGCTGAAATACACTCACTGAGGCTGAAGGCAGATCTGTGGTTCCAAACAAGGCACCAAGCAATGCAAAATAGGTGGGTAAGGTAACTCCAAGTGTCTCACTGTAATCGGTAATTACATGGCAAAATCAGCAGACTGTGGTGAGAGGAAGCTGAAATGATTCAGCAATGAATTCCTGGTTAGGAAACAAACCAGAGGAGATGCTTGTTTATTATGATGACACTTCAAGGTGAACAGCATTGGTGAGGAACAATGTTGCAACCAGAACTTTGCAAGCTGTAAGTTAACAGGAGGAGCCTGTTTCCAAAGCACGTGGTTATACAAGTATGAGAACACGTCACTTTCCTGCTCTTACGCTGAACTGACCTAAGAAGCAGCTAGCTATCATTCTATATGTAGTGAAAATGACAATGATGATTAAAAATTTGTATACCTAGATTAGAGGCTTCGGTGTGGTAGTGGAGTATTACAGTTTATTGCTAGCTTTAGGTAAAGAGTGGATGTGGTAAGTGACAAGGGACTTGGGGATCACACAGTGATTTCGAATAAATTACATTCTGCTCACTAATAGCTAGATTTGATGACGCCTTTAGAGACTTGTTTAGCATTTGGAGATTAAATATCTGTGTGGATTTTTGTCTTAGTTTTGTCTCAGTGTTTCATAACACTGAATTTTGTTGTCAAACAGAAACTTATTTTCCTGCCTGATGTATGCACCACAACTCTAGCCCCAAACTTATCTTTCTCCACAATTAACTTCAAATTTGTACCAGAAGTTCCATTTCCAAATGATATTAAAAGCACAGAAATGAAATTTTCCACAATGTTTGACTGCACTGGAAAAAAAAAAAAAATCCATGAAAACAGCCCCATGAGTGGTATTTTTATTATTGACCTTCCAGTAACAAACCTTCATGTCTGGCATTTGTTTTAATCATAACAAAGCTATTAAACATATGACACAGAGCAAACGCACAAATAAATAAATTTAGGTACACCACTAACAATGTCAAGAACACAAATAACCACATGACCGAGAATGCCTAAAGATGACAGTAAACCAGCATCTTTATGTACCACTGAACATTTTGTATATACTCCATGTTAGGAGAACTTAAGAGAAGTCATAAGAGGCTGTCACGGTTTAACCCCAGAGAGCAACCAAGCCCCACGCAGCCACCCTCTCACTACCCCATCAGTGGGATCGGGGAGAGAATTGAGAGTGTAAAAACTAGAAAACTCATGGATTGAAATAAAGACAGTTTAATATGTAAAGCAAAAGCTGTGTACACAAGAAAAGCAAAACAAGGAATTAATTCATTGCTTCCCATGGGCAGTCAGGTGTTCAGCCATCTCCAGGAGAGCAGGGCCCCATCACACATAACAGTTACTTGGGAAGACAAACACCATCATTCCAAACATACCCTCTTCTTCTCCCCCCCCCCCCTTATATACTGAGCATGATGTCATATGGTCTGGAATATCCCTTTGGTCAGCTGGGGGCAGCTGTCCCAGCTGTGCCACTTCCCAACCCCTCATGCACCCCCAGCCTCCTCACCAGCATGGCAGTATGAAAAGCAGAAAAGGCCTTGGCTCTGTGTAAGCACTACTCAGCAATAATAAAACCAATAAAAACATCTCTATATGTAATCACTGTGTTCAGCACAAATCCAAAACAGAGCTCCGTACTAGCCACTGTGATGAAAATTAACTCTACCTCAGGCAGAACCAGCACAGAGGCATATCAAATTAAGCCTATCAAGTCTATTATAATAAATCACTATCCTTTATTTCTGTGCATAAGAATCGGTTAAACATATGCTAAAATCTATCCATGTAGAGAGGGATTTGGCTGAGGTTTTCTCATGGTATAAATCCTCTGGCACACTTACAATTGTCAAGGTGACAGAGTATTTCTGTGAGTATATGCTTGTTGTGACACATGGAATTATCAAAACTGCTACAGGCCTTGCATAGTAAATGTAAGTATAACTAATTTTATTGGCCTTTTGATTGGTAGTAAATATTAGAGTTAGATAATTACCTCCTATTCTCAAGCCATCTGGACCTTTTGAATATTTCTGGTGGATTACACATTGACCAATATCTTTTGGTTGCTGAGAATGTGAAGATGCTTACATGCAAGGTGCTGAGGTGAATGATATTGAAAAGCATCTTCACTGCTGAGCTGCAATAGGTGATTTAAATATATATTATTAATTACTAGTAATTACTATATCCCCCAGCTTTTTATAAATAGTTATTAAGTGTTTATCAATATATTAATAAGACATTTGTGTACTCATCATCATCAACATCATCATGGCTGGGCTTTGCGAACGAAGATTTGGGAAGGGCTCTACCCATGTTTGTTGCAAGTACGTTGGTGGCTAAAAAGGCCAATACGAGACAGGAATGTCCGGTTGCAAAAGGCACAGCAGAAAGACTCCTTAGGTGGTATATTCTGCAGGGCACAATTCTTTCTGCGTTGTCTTTTCTCCTCAAGAGTGATCCTGCGTGCGTTCTCAAAAGCATCAGCAGCGTTATAGGTGGTGTGTCTCCAGACCTCCCGATTGGAGGCCAGAGTAGACCAGTTACGGTGATCAATATGGCCAAGGCTGAGATGTTGTTTCAGGGAGTCCTTGTATCTTCTCTTCGGGGCTCCTCTCTTGCGGCAGCCGGTGTCAAGTTCGCCATAAAGCAAGATCTTAGGGAGGCGGTGGTCCTTCATCCTGGAGACGTGCCCTGCCCAGCGCAGCTGAGTTCTCAGCAACATGGCCTCAACACTTGTGACCGCTGCTTGTTCTAGAAGAGACATATTGGTCACATAATCTGATCAGTGGATGTTTAGGATTGTATGGAGACAGCGTTGATGGAAGTGTTCCAGGAGTTGCAGGTGGTGGCGGTAGATGACCCATGAGTCGGATCCATATAAAAGAGTTGACAGCACTATGGCTTTGTAAAAACTGATCTTTGTACTTTTCTTCAAGTGTTTATTTTACCAAACTCTTATGAAGCTTTCCAAAGGCACTATATGCCTTAGCTAACCTGTTGTCTATCTCTCCGTCAATCTTACCCTCCGAGGAGATGAGGCTACCTAGGTAATTNTCCAGACCTCCCGATTGGAGGCCAGAGTAGACCAGTTATGGTGATCAATATGGCCAAGGCTGAGATGTTGTTTCAGGGAGTCCTTGTATCTTTTCTTCGGGGCTCCTCTCTTGCGGCAGCCGGTGTCAAGTTCACCATAAAGCAAGATCTTAGGGAGGTGGTGGTCCTTCATCCTTGAGACCTGTCCTGCCCAGCGCAGCTGAGTTCTCAGCAATATGGTCTCAATACTCGTAACTGCTGCCTGTTCTAGAACAGATGTGTTGGTCACATAGTCTGACCAGTGGATGTTTAGGATTGTGCGGAGACAGCGTTGATGGAAGTGTTCCAGGAGTTGCAGGTGGTGGCGGTAGATGACCCATGATTCGGATCCATATAAAAGAGTTGACAGCAGTATGGCTTTGTAAACACTGATCTTTGTACTTTTCTTCAAGTGTTTATTTCACCAAACTCTTATGAAGCTTTCCAAAGGCACTATATGCCTTTGCTAACCTGTTGTCTATCTCTCCATCAATCTTACCCTCCGAGGAGATGAGGCTACCTAGGTAATTAAACTGCTGGACTGATTTGAGTTCTGATTCACCAATGGTGATATGGGGATGATGGAAGACTTCCTGAGGTGCAGGTTGATAGAGAACTTCTGTTTTCTTTAAGCTGACTTCCAGCCCAAAGAGCTCAGCAGAGTCTGCAAAGCAGGATGTTAAACGCTGCAGAGCTGCTTCTGTGTGGGTGACAAGGGTGGCGTCATCAGCATAGAGCAGCTCCTGGACAAGATGATTTAAGGTCTTAGTCGCCTTAGTGGGCCTTCAGTCGTCTTAGGTTGAAAAGGC